TAGTAACTTCATCTAATGCACTGCTAAAACTTATAGTAACTTTATCTAATTCACTTCTAATACTTATAGTAACTTTATCTAATGCACTGCTAATACTTATAGTAACTTTATCTAATGCACTGCTAATACTTATGGTAACTTTATCTAATGCACTGCTAATCCTTATAGTAATTTTATCTAATGCACTGCTGATCCTAATGGTAACTTTATCTAATGCACTGCTAATCCTTATAGTAATTTTATCTAATGCACTGCTAATACTTATAGTAACTTTATCGAATGCACTGCTAATCCCTATAGTAACTTTATCGAATGCACTGCTAATCCCTATAGTAACTTTATCGAATGCACTGCTAATCCCTATAGTAACTTTATCGAATGCACTGCTAATTCCTATAGTAACTTTATCTAATGCACTGTTAATCCTTATAGTAACTTTATCTAATGAACTGCTAATCCTTCTAGTTACTTTATCTAATGCACTGCTAATACTTATAGTAACTTTATTTAATGCACTGATAATCCCTATAGTAACTTTATCTAATGCACTGCTAATCCATATAGTAACTATATCTAATGCACTGCTAATCCTTATAGTAACTTTATCTAATGCACTGCTAATCCTAATGGTAACTTTATCTAATGCACTGCTAATCCTTATAGTAACTTTATCTAATGCACTGCTAATCCTAATGGTAACTTTATCTAATGCACTGCTAATCCTTATAGTAACTTTATCTAATGCACTGCTAATCCTAATGGTAACTTTATCTAATGCACTGCTAATCCTTATAGTAACTTTATCTAATGCACTGCTAATCCTAATGGTAACTTTATCTAATGCACTGCTAATCCTTATAGTAACTTTATCTAATGCACTGCTAATCCTAATGGTAACTTTATCTAATGCACTGCTAATCCTTATAGTAACTTTATCTAATGCACTGCTAATCCTAATGGTAACTTTATCTAATGCACTGCTAATCCTTATAGTAACTTTATCTAATGCACTGCTAATCCTAATGGTAACTTTATCTAATGCACTGCTAATCCTTATAGTAACTTTATCTAATGCACTGCTAATCCTAATGGTAACTTTATCTAATGCACTGCTAATCCTTATAGTAACTTTATCTAATGCACTGCTAATCCTAATGGTAACTTTATCTAATGCACTGCTAATCCTTATAGTAACTTTATCTAATGCACTGCTAATCCTAATGGTAACTTTATCTAATGCACTGCTAATCCTTATAGTAACTTTATCTAATGCACTGCTAATCCTAATGGTAACTTTATCTAATGCACTGCTAATCCTTATAGTAACTTTATCTAATGCACTGCTAATCCAAATGGTATTTTTATCTAATGCACTGCTAATCCTTATAGTAACTTTATCTAATACACTGCTAATTCTAATGATAACTTTATCTAATGCACTGCTAATCCTAATGGTAACTTTATCTAATGCACTGCTAATCCTTATAGTAACTTTATATAACGCACTGCTAATCCTAATGGTAACTTTATCTAATGCACTGCTAATCCTTATAGTAACTTTATCTAATGCACTGCTAATCCTTATAGTAACTTTATTTAATGCACTGATAATCCCTATAGTAACTTTATCTAATGCACTGCTAATCCATATAGTAACTATATCTAATGCACTGCTAATCCTTATAGTAACTTTATCTAATGCACTGCTAATCCTAATGGTAACTTTATCTAATGCACTGCTGATCCTTATAGTAACTTTATCTAATGCACTGCTAATCCTAATGGTAACTTTATCTAATGCACTGCTAATCCTTATAGTAACTTTATCTAATGCACTGCTAATCCTAATGGTAACTTTATCTAATGCACTGCTAATCCAAATGGTATTTTTATCTAATGCACTGCTAATCCTTATAGTAACTTTATCTAATACACTGCTAATACTTGTAGTAACTTTATCTAATGCACTTCTAATACTTATAGTAACTGTATCTAATGCACTGCTAATTCTTATAGTAATTTTATCTAATGCACTGCTAATACTTATAGTAACTTTATCGAATGCACTGCTAATCCCTATAGTAACTTTATCGAATGCACTGCTAATCCCTATAGTAACTTTATCGAATGCACTGCTAATCCCTATAGTAAATTTATCGAATGCACTGCTAATTCCTATAGTAACTTTATCTAATGCACTGCTAATCCTTCTAGTTACTTTATCTAATGCACAGCTAATACTTATAGTTACTTTATCTAATGCACTGCTAATCCTTATAGTAACTTTATCTAATGCACTGCTAATCCTAATGGTAACTGTATCTAATGCACTGCTAATTCTTATAGTAATTTTATCTAATGCACTGCTAATACTTATAGTAATTTTATCGAATGCACTGCTAATCCCTATAGTAACTTTATCGAATGCACTGCTAATCCCTATAGTAATTTTATCTAATGCACTGCTAATTCCTATAGTAACTTTATCTAATGCACTGCTAATCCTTCTAGTTACTTTATCTAATGCACAGCTAATACTTATAGTAACTTTATCTAATGCACTGCTAATCCAAATGGTATTTTTATCTAATGCACTGCTAATCCTTATAGTAACTTTATCTAATACACTGCTACTACTTGTAGTAACTTTATCTAATGCACTTCTAATACTTATAGTAACTTTATCTAATGCACTGCTAATTCTTATAGTAATTTTATCTAATGCACTGCTAATACTTATAGTAACTTTATCGAATGCACTGCTAATCCCTATAGTAACTTTATCGAATGCACTGCTATTCCCTATAGTAACTTTATCGAATGCACTGCTAATCCCTATAGTAAATTTATCGAATGCACTGCTAATTCCTATAGTAACTTTATCTAATGCACTGCTAATCCTAATGGTAACTTTATCTAATGCACTGCTAATCCTTATAGTAACTTTATCTAATGCACTGCTAATCCTAATGGTAACTTTATCTAATGCACTGCTAATCCTTATAGTAACTTTATCTAATGCACTGCTAATCCTAATGGTAACTTTATCTAATGCACTGCTAATCCTTATAGTAACTTTATCGAATGCACTGCTAATCCCTATAGTAACTTTATCGAATGCACTGCTAATCCCTATAGTAACTTTATCGAATGCACTGCTAATCCCTATAGTAACTTTATCGAATGCACTGCTAATCCCTATAGTAAATTTATCGAATGCACTGCTAATTCCTATAGTAACTTTATCTAATGCACTGCTAATCCTTCTAGTTACTTTATCTAATGCACAGCTAATACTTATAGTTACTTTATCTAATGCACTGCTAATCCTAATGGTAACTGTATCTAATGCACTGCTAATTCTTATAGTAATTTTATCTAATGCACTGCTAATACTTATAGTAATTTTATCGAATGCACTGCTAATCCCTATAGTAACTTTATCGAATGCACTGCTAATCCCTATAGTAATTTTATCTAATGCACTGCTAATTCCTATAGTAACTTTATCTAATGCACTGCTAATCCTTCTAGTTACTTTATCTAATGCACAGCTAATACTTATAGTTACTTTATCTAATGCACTGCTAATCCTTATAGTAATTTTATCTAATGCACTGCTAATCCTAATGGTAACTTTATCGAATGCACTGCTAATCCCTATAGTAACTTTATCGAATGCACTGCTAATCCCTATAGTAACTTTATCGAATGCACTGCTAATCCCTATAGTAAATTTATCGAATGCACTGCTAATTCCTATAGTAACTTTATCTAATGCACTGCTAATCCTTCTAGTTACTTTATCTAATGCACAGCTAATACTTATAGTTACTTTATCTAATGCACTGCTAATCCTTATAGTAACTTTATCTAATGCACTGCTAATCCTTATAGTAACTTTATCTAATGCACTGCTAATACTTGCAGTAACTTTATCTAATGCACTGCTAATCCTTCTAGTTACTTTATCTATATCACTGCTAATACTTATAGTGACTTTATCAGATGTATTGCTATTTCTCCCCCCCCCCCTCTTCTCTCTTGCTCTGTCTTTCTTCATCTATTTCTCTATATCTATCTATCTCTCCTTCTCTCTCTTTCTCTCTCTCTCTTTCTCTCTCTCTCTTTCTCTCTCTCTCTCTCTATCTCATTGTCGGTTTATCCACAATGCAATTCGAGCCAGGCCTACTTTAAAAACTTGAAATTGCTGGTATATAAAATGTTATGGAAATATTTTTATTTTAGTATATTGTCATTTTTAGAACATATGAAAAAACATTTCATTACTGTCTGGGTTTTTTTTTTTTATGTAGTAGGCCTATAAATAGCTCAATGTCACATGAAAAAAGTATTCCCGTCCGGTTTTTAAAATCATCAATTGTTTCCCGTAGAGGGAGACTTACCCAAGTATTAGAAAGCCCTGAAATGGTCATATTGAAGGGTCAAGTCTAGCGGCCCATCAGGTGAAAAAAATATTTTTTTGCTGACATATAATTCCTGTCGCTAAATAAGATCTTACTTATATTATAAAACATAAAAACAATTCATGGCTTTGATGGCTGGAAAAAGTATCAACCCTAACATCACAAATTGATTCTCCTAAATATTTCTTTTGTTGTCATTGTTAAGTAAAAAAAACTATCTGCCTAAATACAGAGCAATGTTGAGCTAATTGAAAAATTATTACATTGTTTTCCCATCTCTTGCTATAGCAGTTGTATTTAATTAAAGTAAAATAAAAAGTGTTGGTTTTTTCCTATTATGTTTGTTTTGGTGGCAGTTAGAGCGTCTATTTTTTTACTTTTCTTTTTTCCACTTCAAGCCTCCCAAAGGTTAACCAGGCACTGTCTGACCCTCCCTTTCTTTCAAACAAATTCCTCGGCTATCTTTAATTATCTCCTCTTATTGATTTTAACCAGCAGCAATTTTGAATCAACTTAATTGTACTTTTAAAAGAGTGTTGTGTTTAGTTTGAAATTTTATTTTTAAATATTTCAGGGCGCAATGTAGCATTACGGCAATCTGCTTTACAATCAAGCAGTTACAAGAACAAGACAGTCTCGTACAATGCAAGTCTTGCTGTGGATGGAGAGAGGCAGTCAGATTTTGATTCTAATAGTTGTGCACAAACCGATCTGCTCGACCCTTCGCCTAATTGGAATGTGACTTTATCTCAGCCTCACCTTGTCAACAGATATGTTCTGTACAACAACAATCAGGGTAAGTAATTAGTTTAAAAAAGGATTAACATTTATTGTAGGTTGTTCATACTTTCATACTCATGAGGTTTTCTGTCCTTAAATGAATTTTTACGAATGGTTTATAAAGTTGATGAAGTTATCCAATAGATCTACAATAACGCAAACATTTTACAAGTATTACATAAAGTCTATTAAAGAATACATTTGTAGGGTGTCAAGTTTAAAAAAAAAATCTTAAATAAATCTGTTGCCTACAATACATAACTGTGTTATTTTTTTTTTCAGATCAAGATCAACTTCAAAGTTTCATCCTATCAAGTTTCAACAAAGATAACATCGTGGTGGACAACTATATTGTACCAAAGATAGCACAAGCTATTTATTATGGAACATCTCTTTCACTAAGTGTTTCATTCGTAAAAATATATACACATGAAAGTAACAAGGTTCTCACATTGTGTGAAGTTGAAATGTATGGGGGTAAGTTATGAAAATATTTCTTCACTCTACTGAATGTTTAATGAGATGGTTAATATTCATTCAAATATTTCCATTTGCAAAAGTATATCAAGAAAATATTTTTCATAGACGTAGATACACTTTTAGATGTTTATCTTACAATTGCTTTTTTAATAATAAAAAAGATGTGTGAGAAAATGGTTGTTTATTGGGAGAACTTATTCCCTGACTTGTATTATTTATTTAAGGCTGTGATGTAAAATATTCTTTATATAAAATTCATTCATAATATAGATGTTCTGTCCTACTGAGGTTTATAAATAATCAGGTATTTTAAATAAGAGAGGCGAAATATTGGTAAAAAAATAAATATAAAAAAAAAAGCATGCTCTCTTCATCTTTTGAACCCATCATAAAAATAGTAGAACAATGATGTAATTTTCAACAGATTCGCTGTGTCCATTTAACATGTATGGAATAGAGTGCGATAAACAATGTAATTGTGCGAGCAAAATAGAGACATGTTATGTTGCTACTGGAGGATGTCCTTCTGGCTGTGCTGCTGGCTACCATGGGCCGGGCTGTCAAAATGGTTTGTCAAATGATTAAGCATTATTTTGTATATATTTTTGTCTATGGTTTTATGGACAGTGGTTTAATGCGGTCGATTTTATAGAAACGAAGTCTGTCTAAAGCTACTTTTGAATAAACTTGAGTACAAAGAAATCAGCTCTTTAAACAGCATAAACATTTGAAACTGATTTTAAAAAAAAAAATCTCTTCAATGCACTTTAAATAAAAATATTCGCACTTTTACTAAAAACGATGTAAAAAAAAAAAAATCTCGTTATGTTTAAAATACTTCCCTTTCTGAAGATAATTTTTTTATTAAGTCGTAAATCTGAAGTCATTTTCTGAATTATTTAAAATTGAAATATAGTAATTTATGAAAACTATCCATCATTTTCGACGGAGGAAAATCTCATAACTCCTTTAGTCTCTATCGAAGAAGCTTATATTTCAAGCATGAAATTCATATTAATTTTGTTGAAATAATTGTGTGTGTGTTTTTTTTTACTAAGACTTATTGTCCCATTGTTTTCAAATATGCATTGCATTGTCAGTTTTGAAGGGGTTGCGAGACTAGTAACAATTCGTACAGGGTGCAAGACGTTCAAACGTTCTTAGTTGGCGCAGAATACCTTGTTAGCAGTGGCGTTGCTAGGGGGTGCTGGGTACGGACCACACCAGGTGAGACCAAATGGAAAAAATGCATATTTACAGAGCACAATAAAGGTGAAAACAAAAAAGGAGCCCGCTTGCAAAACGTACTAAGTCCAACCAAACTCATTTTTCAGGAAAGGGAATTTTGTGTTACAACTTAACTAGCATTTTGATGCTTGCTCTACATTTTCTATTTCAAATAAAGGCATTTAGAGCCTTCTGAACGTTGAGATGAGAGATTCAAAATGTGTTTTTAAAACAATAGATTAAGAAAATTGCACTAACCCATTTATAAAAAAAAACTGACTTAATACCATTTGCAACTGGGCTCCTCAAGTATTAGTGACATGTTTTCTTGATTATTTAAATCTTTTATATTTGATTAAAAGCGATAATTGATAAATGTGCCATAAGGCTAGGTCTAACCGAATTTTATAAAAGGATAACCGATCACTCGTAAATTGTCCACACATGTAACCAATCCAAATGCGTGCTTATTAAAAGTTCAAGGTTGATGGGTCATCAATGAGGTTACTCAATAATAAGGTCAGAAAACACCGATTTGACCATGATTCAACGCTGATTTAAGTGTTCAGTAACTTTTGTAACTGACAGGAGGCTACAATTATCTAAATTATACTGAATAATGCTTTCCATTGACAACAAATAAGATGTGGTCGGGCGATTCTAAGTTCATTAATTAATCGGTAAAAAATAATAATACTACAAAATACTTTTTACCCCTTTACAGGGTTAACAAAATTATATTTTACTAAATTTTCTTATTACTTTCAATAATTAATTTAAATTTATTGCAATTTTAAAAAAGGCTTTTGAAACAAAAAATATGGAAACCCGGAAATACTTAAAAATTAATATTTTCGCCGATTCGTCACTAGCATCGCCCTTTAGAATAACAGCACTATTGACAGGTCTGCAGCTTTAAAGACAAGGAAACGAACATTGTAAATAAATTAAATTTAATGTAAAAATAACTATAACTTAACGTTGCTACAGTTCTTAAATACATTTGGCTCCTGACCTATACTATAATTAATTTGGTTTTCTTCTTGTCATTGTTATACTGTGGACTTATTTTGACAAGATGAAATCCATCGTGGAAGTCAGGGGAGGGAGGTTATACCATGAGTTTAAAGCACAGGATGGCACCAATCCTAGCTACGCCACTGCTTTTTAGATACCCTGCTTTAAAGGGTTGTTAATGTACTCCTTGTAAATAAAATGATCATGACACCGAAATTACTTTATTATTTCACAATATTTATATTGAGTGAGTGTTATAAATATTTATTTTATTAATTAATCTATTCGGTGATAAATATTTCAACTCTAAAGTATGTACGTACTTGAACTCTCTAAACTCATCTGACATAAACGTCTTACTTGCAGACGAAGCTCTATCATAGGGTTGCAATACAACAAAATATTTTTGAACAAATAAAACTTGAATAATAATATTGAGGGTTACATTGTTTTCTAGCTTGCCCTATTCACAAATGGGGAGTCGATTGTCTCAATCAGTGCAGCACAAACTGTGTTGATGGAATGTGCAACAGGATTGATGGGAGTTGTGATCGTGGCTGTGAACTAGGATTCACCGGGCTCAATTGTGCTCAAGGTCAGTTCTACTTTTGCAAATTTTAATATTTATGCTATTTTTATTGCTTCATTGTTACTTTCAAATATTTTTGAAATTTAATATTTTAGTTCCTTTATCATTTGAAAACTTTCTGTTAAGTATAAAGTAAATAAGTGTGAACTATTTTTCTAAGTGTTTATTATATTTTCCATTAATTCATTTTTTTAAATCTTAAAAATGACAAAATAGATGAGCCAACTCCGTGTGTTTTGAGACAACATTCTAAGAATCGACTGTCATTCTATTAGTCCCACTGAAATAGTTAGATCATGATTTGCCAGTGCGCAATGAGCTGGGTTTCAAATATGATTTGTAATTCATTGGATGATAGGTAGAGCGGAATGCACAACCACTGTGTATATGTAGCGGTGGTGGATGTGTAAGCGACATCTGTGAGGTCATAGGTCATCCTATCTTCTTGTTTCTGCAGCTGATTTCGTCTGTGGGTGTCAGATGACTGATGAGATTTAATCTGCCACATTTTCTTGTGCAGAATGTTCAAGGGATAGAACTCCAGTTGCATTAGTGACTCGAGCTTTGCTGGATTGTCTTTTATGTTTAACCGGTTTTTGGTTTTATAAGAATCTCTGTTACGTTTGCTATTATTTGCTGTCTGTTTGATGTAAGAGATATGCGTCTGACATTTCAGCTCTTCCATTGTCAGACTGTGACGAAAGTTGTGCGAATGAATGCAGCGAACATTGTATAAACAGGTCGTGTCACAGGGTCAACGGCATTTGTGACAAAGGCAGTGAGTATGGAAACTTCGGTGACAAAGGCTCGGCGGGAAGGTGTTGTGCAAACAGAAATAAGGCTTCTTAGCATTTAAACTAAATCTCTCTTGTTGGTTTCTAGGAATTCATGTTCAATTTTATCTCAAACTCTTCATTTTTGTTACTGTTAAAAAATACATTTTAAAGAAAGCCAACTGAGCTAATTAAACATTAAACTAACATGATGCTAAATAGAAACATTGTAACTTAATGCATCTGGTTAAAACATTTTTTCAAATTAAATAGCGGTATGCAAGACGGGTAAAAAGGGGGGGGGGGGCTAAGCCAAGTAAGCCAACTAGTTTGAAACAATACAAGACTTTATTCTTATATTTTCCCATTTATCTGTTCGTATAATTTTCGAAAATATGATGCACAGCAACATAACTTTTGGATATAACATAACTTTTGGATGTAGCATAATTTTTGGATGTAAGATAGCTTTTGGATGTAACATAACTTTTGGATGTAACATAACTTTTGGAAACATACCGCAAAGAAAAGTGCAAACACATGCAATAGTTAAACAAAGGATAAAGTCCAGCAGACATTTGGCATTGAAAGACATAATGGCCGCAAGAAATGTCAACAATATGACAAAGTTTTATGATAAAGTTTTGGCAATGTTTGAAATGGGGGAAACTAAGTTTTGGCAATGTTTGAAATGGGGGAAACTAATTTTTGGCAATGTTTGAAATTGGGGAAACTAAGTTTTGGCAATGTTTGAAATGGGGGAAACTAAGTTTTGGCAATGTTTGAAATGGGGGAAACTAAGTTTTGGCAATGTTTGAAATGGGAAAAACTAAGTTTTGGCAATGTTGAAATTGGGGAACTTTTTATTTTATACAAAAATGTTTTGTTTTTTTAATTTTCATTAGGCATTATTGTTAATTATTTTTAAGTTTCATCAAAACTTTAAAATGTTCCTTTTTTTTTTTACTTGAAGGTTATTCATATGATGATCGACTTGGAGTCGGTATTGGGATTGGCATAGCTATCATGTGTGTTGTTGGTACTCTGCTCGTTGTGATCATAATCTTTGTACTGATGAGATATAGGAAACACAGAAATTATGGAGTATCAAAAGAGAGTCCACCTACTCAGCCGGAAACAACTGTGGATTTACCCAAAAATAAATACGACTCTTTAAACCTATTTGGTAGGTTGAATTGTTGGACTTACGCATAATATATTAATACTATTTCTTCAAGCCACCCAACATTGCTGCCTGAAACTTGCTGGATCGGAATAACAATTATTGTAGGCCAGTTGTTGGTGTTCATATTTGACACTAGTAATACTTAATACGTGACTGTAGGGCAGTTGTTGGTGTTCATATTTGACACCAGTAATACTTAATACGTGACTGTAGGCCAGTTGTTGGTGTTCATATTTGACACTAGAAATTCTTTATACGTGACTGTAGGCCAGTTGTTGGTGTTCATATTTGACACTAGAAATTCTTTATACGTGACTGTAGGCCAGTTGTTGGTGTTCATATTTGACCCTAGTAATACTTAATACGTGACTGTAGGCCAGTTGTTGGTGTTCATATTTGACACTAGAAATACTTTATACGTGACCGTAGGCCAGTTGTTTGTGTTCATATTTGACACTAGAAATACTTTATACGGGACTGAAGGACAGTTGTTTGTGTTCATATTTAACACTAGCAATACTTTATACGTGACCGTAGGCCAGTTGTTGGTGTTCATATTTGACACTAGAAATACTTTATACGTGACTGTAGGCCAGTTGTTTGTGTTCATATTTGACACTAGAAATACTTTATACGTGACCGTAGGCCAGTTGTTGGTGTTCATATTTAACACTAGAAATACTTTATACGTGACTGAAGGACAGTTGTTTGTGTTCATATTTGACACTAGTAATACTTTATACGTGACTGAAGGACAGTTGTTTGTGTTCATATTTGACACTAGTAATACTTTATACGTGATAAAGCTTAATGGTTTTTACACAGCATGAACATTTGAGCCCTACAACGTTATACTATTTAACTATCCACGAGTTTAATATATATCTTTTTCTGTTTACATTAGAGGATAGTACTTACGCCCAACCCAGTGTGTCTCTTGAAAGAAGAGAGCCTAATTCTACAAGCAGGCCTCATCATAAAGACAACACCTATGACGAAATATAGGTGCTAGAGAAGACGATCAGCTCAAGAAAACTCGAACTGAGAATAGAACCGATAAAATTAAACTATATCTAGCATTACTTGGAATTTGACTATGAAATGTAGCATTAATTGGAATGTGTGTATGAAGTGTAGCATTACTGAGATGTGTGTATGAAATGTCGCATTATTTGGATGTGTGTATGAAATGTAGCATTACTTGGAATGTGTGTATGAAGTGTAGCATTACTTGGATGTGTGTATGAAATGTAGCATTACTTGGATTGTGTATATGAAATGTAGCATTACTTGGAATGTGTATATGAAGTGTAGGATTACTTGGATGTGTGTATGAAATGTAGCATTACTTAGAATGTGGGTATGAAATGTAGCATTACTTGGAATGCCGGTATGAAATGTAGCATTACTTGGAATGTGGGTATGAAATTCAAACCTGCATTTTTAAATTGAGAGTGTTTTTTCGTGTAAGCAGACGACACTAGTAGGCTTGTTAAATTGGCACAATGGTTTGTTAACTCCAGCTGAAATCGTAAGCATCGTCTGTCTCTTACCCAAGTTATCTCGAAAGAATTCAGTGTGCTTGTAAATAAAAGACTAAACGTGAGTACTAATAAATGTATAATGAATGTCTAACAACTATACCTTTAAGTCATTAACAATTCTCATTAGTCAAGACAGGTTCTATGCTGTCAGATTGATAGCTGTCAGAATCTATGATCTATCTCTCTAGGGACATTATTTTATTAAAGCACTGCAAAAAGTGTGTTTCATCCCTGCGTCTTAGTGCACATCAACCATTTGAAATCTGTATTTTTTTAATTTTTATGCATGCACATTATGTATTCAAATGCTTCATTGCCGAAATGGCTGCTTAATATTGAATACAATTAAATTTGAAAACTGATATTTTATTTATAGATTTTCATTTACTTCAAATATTTTTTAACTTAAAAAATACTATTGGCAAAACCAAAGTGTCAACACGTTAAAGTCTGTTTCTAACTTGTGTCTTTTGGAGATAGGTTATCTACCCGGACCACGAGTATGTTTGCCACATGTGTCTGTTGGAGATAGGTTATCTACCCGGACCACGAGTCTGTTAGCCACATGTGTCTGTTGGAGATAGGTTATCTACCCGGACCACGAGTCTGTTTGCCACATGTGTCTGTTGGAGATAGGTTATCTACCCGGACCACGAGTCTGTTAGCCACATGTGTCTGTTGGAGATAGGTTATCTACCCGGACCACGAGGCTGTTAGCCACATGTGTCTGTTGGAGATAGGTTATCTACCCGGACCACGAGTCTGTTAGCCACATGTGTCTGTTGGAGATAGGTTATCTACCCGGACCACGAGTCTGTTAGCCACATGTGTCTGTTGGAGAGAGGCTGTCTACCCGGACCACGAGTCTGTTAGCCACATGTGTCTGTTGGAGAGAGGCTGTCTACCCGGACCACGAGTCTGTTAGCCACATGTGTCTGTTGGAGAGAGGCTGTCTACCCGGACCACGAGTCTGTTAGCCACATGTGTCTGTTGGAGATAGGCTGTCTGCTCCGGCCTTGTTTAACAAAATTATCGAAGCAAACAAATAACCGTGAGACAGTGCTCACCGCTACTGTCCAGTTGAATAAAAAAAGTTAAATAATTGCCTAATGATCTTATCTTTCAGTTGTCTTCATAAGTTGTGACTTTTAAGATGGTAAGATATGATCATATAATGTTTTGGTAAGGCATAAAACCCCATAACAGTGATTGATATTTAATAAATCTTCTTTTTACTTGCAACATTATGACATCTTGCTAAAAAATTATAAATTATAAAATCTTTGACTTCCCCATACATAGTATGTCTAAAAGCGTTCTGTTGTCCTTTAACTCTAATTCAGTAAGTTTTTATAAATGTTATTTTATGTAAATATTTGTTCAACTACCAGAAGATAGAAGACCATTGTAAAATATTTTTAGCAAACTTACAAAGCAGATATAATATGTTTTTTTAAATATTTTTAATCCTAATATTTATTAATAAAATGTGAAAATATTATTATTAAATTCCTTTTCTTACCCTTGTAAATGTTTATTTATATAATAACGTAAATAATGCACTACAAGAAAATATGAAGGAGGTTGTAGTCTTTCTATAACGTTTACGAATCTTCTTTTGTAAAAAAAACCCAAAAACAGCGAGTTTCAATATAACAAATATGCACAGTAATGAAAGTTATTAAATAAAATTCATGAAAGTAAAAATTTAATAGCCCTACTGTGAACACATGAAGGGATGGAGTCAAATATTAAGAAGTTAATTTAATTATTTTTAATTAATTTTATTATTTATTTGTTACTCTTTGTTTTACTGTGCGCATTAGAAAAGAAATAATCTATATATGTAAAAATGAATGTTTGCATGTCTGTTGTCTCGTATGCGCTCCTACACCATTCATGCAATTGCAACAAAACTTTAAACAGTTGTTGTCAAAATAAATGGGCATTTAACTGAGTCAATAAAAACCTTATAAACTGTTCCGTTCCTAGCCGTTGGCCCTTAATTTGTTTTTTTTTCTTCTATGAACTTTGTAAAAAATATTTTCCACATGCGCTCCTACGCCATTTATCCGATTCCGATAAACTTTGGTGAAGTGTTGCAAGCATGCCCGCAAATGTTTCTAAATTATTTCAATTGTTTTAAAATATTCAGTTTTGAGCCAGGGGCTCTAAGCTGCATTTTCCTAATATGAGCTTTATAAATATATTTTCAAACCGTATGCGCTCCTAAACCATTCATGCGATTGCTACAAAACTAAGTGAGTTGTTGTCCATGCGCCAGTGCATTTTACTGTGTTATTTAAAGACTTATGAAAATATTCCGTTTTCGGCCGTTGGCCCTTCATTCAAACTTTTTCTTATATGAGCTTTGTAAAAAATAATTTTCGTATGCGCTCCTACGCCATTTATCCGATTCCAAAAAAAATTTGGTGAGATGTATGTTGCCAGCATGTTCATAAAGGTTTCTAAATTATTACAACCGTTTTAAAGTATTCAGTTTTGAGCCAGGGGCTTTATATTCGTTTTTCCTAATATGAGCTATATATATATTTTCAAACCGCATGCGCTCCTACACCAATTATGCGGTTGCTACAAAACTTAGTGAGTTGTTGTCCATGTACCAGTGCATTTTACTGTGTTATTTAAACACTTTTATAAATATTCTGTTTTCGGCCGTTGGCCCTTAATTCGTATTTTTTCTAATATGAGCTATGTAAAAAATAATTTCCATATGCGCTCCTACGCCATTTATCCGATTGCAATAAAAACTTTGGTGACATGTTGGAATCACAGCCGCAAAGGTTTTTAAATATTATAAACTTTTCAAAATATTCCAATTGGAGCCAACAGCCCTATTTACGTTTTCTTTCTTATACGAGCTATATAAAATATAATTTCAAACCGTATGCGCTCCTGCACCATTCATGCGATTGCGACAAAACTTTGACGAGTTGTTATCTTTAAACATACCCATTTTACTCATTCATTACAACACTTTTAAATATTCCGTTTTCAGCCGAGGACCCAAATTCATTTTTTTTCTTATATGAGCTTTGTAAAAAATAATTTTCTATGCGCTCCTATACCATTTTTCAGAATGCGATAAAAATTTAGTGAGATGTTGTTCTATCGCCCATAAAGGTTCTTAACTTACTACAACCGTTTTAAAATATTCAGTGTTGAGCCAGGGGCCCTATGTTTGTTTCTTACAAAATGAGCTATATAAATATAATTTCAAACCGCATGCGCTCCTACATCATTCAAGCGCTTGCGATAAAACTGAGGTGAGTTGTTGTCCATAAGCCAGAGCATTTTTTTTAATCAAATACAAATAGTGATATTAAATTGAGTGTGTGACATATTGTAGGTTTCTGAAGTAATTCAAATAGCACAGAATAATGCGGCCCGCATAGTTCTCCGCAAACGCAAATTCGACCATGCAAAAACACTTCTGAGAGAGTTGCATTGGCTGCCGGTGCGTGCTCGCATAGAGTACAAAATCGCAACTTTGTGCTACCGCTGCTTACATGACCTGGCGCCGTCCTATCTGAAAGAGCTGCTGACGCCTTATGTACCCAGTAGAGAGCTCCGCTCATCCGATAGTGGCAAACTCTCGACACCACGTGTTTGCCTTGAGACTTACGGAAAGCGCACTTTCGCATTTGCTGGTCCAACAATTTGGATAACTCTCGACACCACGTGTTTGCCTTGAGACTTACGGAAAGCGCACTTTCGCATTTGCTGGTCCAACAATTTGGAACGCCCTTCCTGTCGATCTTAGAAACAACCAGACACTGGAGTCCTTTAAAACCGATCTAAAGACACATCTATTTCGCAAATACCTTCTGGGATGATTGTCTACCTTATTTTCCATGTGTTGCTGTGTTGCTCCGGGTTGAAATGGCTAGAAAGACTTTGCCATTGTATGCTTGTAATTAGTTTTTGTAGTGTTGCGTTTGTTTTAAATGTGGTGAATTATAGATATGTTTTTTGTTGACTTTGTACCGCGCTTCGAGCCTTTGGGGAAGAAGCGTGTTTTTGAAATGAACTTTATTATTATTATTATTATTATTATTAATACAACAATTCTACAATCGTCCATTTGTGGCGGGGGGCCCTAAATTCGTTTTCCACAATTCTATTATCTATATAATTATCGTATGCATTTCTAACCCATTCATTCGATTGTGATCAAACTGGGTCAAGTGAAATGCGCACTACCGAAAATGTTTCTAAATTAGAAAAACATTTTACAATATTCCGTTTGGGCCAGTGACCCTAATTTCATATTTTCTTCTAAGAGCTTTGTAACTATAATTTAAAACAGAGCTATTGCATGTGTGGAAGGCGCTGAATCTGCCGGGAAATTTTTCAAATTTAGTACATCCATTGTACAATATTCCAATTAGGGCTGGGGACCCTAAATTCAATTTATTTTCTTAAATGAGCTTCATCAATATAATTTATAATTGAGATATCAACACTACCGCCCTTGAACAAATGACACATTTGTAGTAAAGCAGAGAAAACACGTTTTTACATTTTTAGTGTAGAGAGTATTTTTGTTATTTGTATAAATAAGCTTGAATTTTGTGACGTATTTTAGAATCGGAAATGACATCGAAATCGCGTTTTTTTTCAACTAAGAGTATTTCTTGAATAGAGTCTTATAATTTCGGAGTTGTTTTGTGTTATGTAAATACATTTTACATGAATCGATGGTTTCTCAAGTAATTAAATAGCACACTTGACAACGTAGGTATTGAACTATGGTCATTTTTTTACCGCTTGAATT